GGGGGGTGGTGATGGGTATTGAGGAGGGCACCTGTTGGGATCAGCACTGGGTGTTGTACAGAAACCTATTTGACAATAAATTTCATATTAAAAAAATAATAAAAAATAAAAATAAAAAAAGAATTGCAAGAAAAATAAAATAAAATAAACATTTTTTTTTAATTTTTTTTTCAACGTTTATTTATTTTTGGGACAGAGAGAGACAGAGCATGAACGGGGGAGGGGCAGAGAGAGAGGGAGACACAGAATCGGAAACAGGCTCCAGGCTCTGAGCCATCAGCCCAGAGCCCGACACGGGGCTCGAACTCCCGAACTCCCGGACCGCGAGATCGTGACCTGGCTGAAGTCGGACGCTTAACCAACTGCGCCACCCAGGCGCCCCAAAATAAACATTTTTTTAATAAAAAAAATCAATGGGTTGTAACCCTCCTCCCCCCACAAAGGGCCACAGTGCATCAACGTATTTGCAATACATCTGTGGTATTAAGACTTCATGGAGGTGAAGGCAGTTAGGAAAAAATGCTCTTCCAGGCACCTGGGTGGCTTAGTTAAGCATTCTACTTTGGCTCAGGTCATGATCTCATGGTTTGTGAGATCACGGTTCGAACCCCATGTTGGGCTCTGTGCTGACAGCTCAGAGCCTGGAGCCTGTTTCAGATTCTGTGTCTCCCTTTCTCTTTGCCCTTCCCCCGCTTGTACTGTGTGTGTGCGTGTGTGTGTGAGAGTGTGTGTCACGCTCTCTCTCTCTCTCTCTCTCAAAAATAAACATTAAAAAAAATAATAAAGGAAAAAATGCTTTAAAATCTCATGGGTAACAATGATTCTTTTTTTTTTTTTTTTTTTTTTTAGTATTGAGAAACGCTGCTATGTATCCTAATTTTTCATGTTCCCCGTATGAATTACAACTACCAAGATGTGCATTTCTATCCCCCAAGGCTTTTTCCCCTTTTGCCAAGGCTTGTCAACCACTGGCTGACCGCAGTTGGTGTATCAATGTCCCCACTCCCTCATTCCTGGGCGCACTGGGCGATTCTGAGCTATGTGTTTTTCAGTTTGCCCACAGGAATGAGCTCCAGTTGCCCTCTGTGGCTAAGGCTTAAGAACATAGCGCTCAGAACTCTCAGCACCTGGGGGGCTCAGCCGGTTAAGCGTCAGACCTCAGCCCAGGTCATGATCTCGCAGTTGGTGAGTTCAAGCCCCGAGTCAGGCTCTGTGCTGACAGCTCGGAGCCTGGAGCCTGCTTTGGACTCTGTGTCTCCCTCTCCTTGCTCAGTGGCACTGAGACTCTGGAGATGGACTGCCTGGCTCCTCCACTTTCTAGCTGTGTGGCCATGGACAAGTTACTTAGCCTCTCTGTGCCTCTGTGTCCTCATCTATAAAGTAGGGATGATACTGGTGCTTCCTCACAGTGCTGTGTGCTCTAAAGGATGTAGTCTGTGAAAGCTCTCTGGGCTGTGCCTAGACAAGGGTTAGCCACTGTCTCTGTTATTGTGTTGTTGCTGAGCACGTGGTTCTGTGAGTGCTAGACTGTGAGCACAGGCCCCCTCTCGTTAAGAGAGCAGGAAAGGAAAGTAGCAGTAAAAGTTTTACTAGGACTTTTTGAACCAGGAGTCACCTTTTGTCTAAGAAGACCCAGACGTTAGGCCATCCGGGCTAACATGTTCTTACTCTCTTAATTGTCACATTATTGAGTGTCTACCCAGAGCGATCCCACACCTCCAGTTTTGGGATTCAAAGATCCCCATCACCCATAAAATCCATGGCCGGCACCTGCTTTACGACCCACTGGGCTACTGCATCCAAACACAGAATTGTTAAACAGGTAGGTACTGGCCTGGTATAATGAACCCTATTGGGCAATAGATGCCTTCAGCATGAGAAAAATGTCCCATGTTTCTTTTCTCTCTGTTTGCAGCAACAGGACAAGCAGAGCTGATAGCCTTTATAGAAAGGTGAAGAGTGAGAGAACCCAACTGCTTTAACCATCCCCCACCAGTTGGCAAGGGGAGGCTAGGCTCCTTCCCTCCGTGTTTGGGTTTCCAAAGAGATGTCTCCCTCCACTGAAGTTGATTTTGAGGTGATTTATTTGTGAGTCAGAGATCCCATAAGTTGATAAAATGTTTAATATCTCTATAAACACCTACATGGTAATTTGTCTTTGTACCCAAGCAGTTCCATTTAGATTTATACTCTGCTTATTAAAGAATGGAATCAGGACCCACAGAACCCTCTCTTCCCCTGTTCACGTTGGAACCCACCTCCTCATCGAAGGCTCCAATTTCCCCTGCATATACTCTGTTTCTGTTTCTTCCTTCCCATTACCTGAAAATATGTGATTATTTCTTTCCCCACCCCATCTGGCCATCACCTCACCAACAGCCTGTGGATCTTCTCTGAGACAATTGTTTCCAACAGAACAGGGATCCGGTGGCATTTTTTTTTTTCTATAAAGGGCCAAACTGCAAATATTTTAGCCTTCGTGGGCTGTACGATCTCTGTTGTAACTACTCAACCCTGCAAGTATATCATGAAAGCAGCCACAGACAGTATGTAAACAAATGAACGTAGCTTTTTCCCAATAAAACTTTATTTACAAAAGCAGGCAGTGGGCCAGATTTGGCCCACGGGCTGTAGTTTGTAGATCCCTGCTCCAGAGCGACAAAATTAGTCATCCATCATATCTAGTCAATAAAGTATTAAAACCTGCCTTGCTTTTTGCAATAATTTTTAAATGTAATGCCATGTGCACAAGAATTTCTATATTTACATCTAAAGCTGCTTTGAGACACAGCCAGGGTTGTACTGCAACATTCTCTATATTCACCATACTTTGTCAATTGAAAGCAATAATTAGGGCCCTCATATTCATGCATCCATTTCATAAAAACCACATACTGGCCACCAAGGTTACACCCGTTGGTACATTCATCAATGCTTCTTATTTCACTTTTCTTCTCATTACATACAGTATAATTTTGTTGACCACATTAGGCACAGCAACAGGGTTTTTTTTCTCTACTACGGACACACAATCAAAAGCAAAGGAGAATACTGACCGTATTAACTTTGGCTCAGGACATCTGTATGGAAACTTCAGAACAAGAAATGCAATTTCTCTTGGTTATTTCCTCCACTCTCCTGAGTTCAACTGTGCACAAAATTACTTGTCATTGTGGTGGCACAAATAAGACTTCATTAACATCACCATTCCGACGTTGGTAAACAAGTTTATTTACACTTGAGCACTGCTGAAGAATGAAGTCATAGAGAAAAGTTCATGGTAGGTGGTCCTGCCTTTTTCATTAAGGCGAGCTTTGACAAAATCACCAGCACCTCACTTGGACAAGCTGCTATTCAGTACCCTGGGGTTAATGCAAGTGCGGGTGTGTGCCTGTTGAAAAGCATCCGGCGACAACACTTGTAATCGAGGTGGGGCACATTTTTTAATGATACGTGTTGTTGCTGTTTCTTGTCGTGCTTTTTCCTAACCCCTGGCTCCCCTGCTCTCCCAGTGCCTATGACAAGGATAGTGGAATCCATCGGTTAAATTGGATTTCTGACTTATAATTAGAAATCAAGTAGGGGTGCCTGGGTGGCTCAGTCGGTTGAGCGTCTGACTTTGGCTCAGGTCATGATCTCACCGCTCGTGGGTTGGAGCCCCCCCATCAGGCTCTGTGCTGATAGCTCGGAGCCTGCTTCGGATTCTGTGTCTCCCTCTCTCTCTGCCCCTCCCCCGCTCATGCTCTCTCTCTCTCTCTCTCTCTCTCTCTTTCTCTCAAAAATAAACATTAAAAAATTTTTTAAAAAAAGAAAAGAATTCAAGTAGTTCTCCAAGATGGCAAATCCTGAGAAGGTGGGGCTCCAGGTACTCCTCGGAGATTGTGGGAATGAACATGTTTAATTGTCACGCTGAAAAAAACAACATGGGGCTCTGGCCAAGTCTCCTTCTTTGAGAGCAGAATGCATGTGATGGGGAAGCGCCATCTAAATGTTCAGGCACCATCTAAATGCAGGACTAGGTGGTGTCAGCCTTCACACAGCAAAAGCAGAAGGAAATCGCAGCTCTTGATGTTGTATATGCTCGGAAAATACACGATGATGGATATGAATGTGAATACGATTCGCTGTGATGGCCTTGCCCTTGCAGAGGAAACCACTGCAGGGCAAAAGGAGCCCCCCATCTCCCTGCCCCAGAACCTCCTGGTTCAGGGCTGGGCCTTTCCACCAGGAAGGCCAGGTCTGGTCCTGCTCACACACTCCTTGGCCAGTGATTAGCATCCCACCACTCTGCTGGACCAAGAGGAACACCTGCCTGTGACAGCTCGGAGCCAGATACCAGAGCGGTCCTTCCCAAGAGTCAGCAGAGTGAGGACAAGCTCCAGGCAGGGGTAGGGGACTGGGGCAAGAATGAGACCTACCGTCACGGAACATCAACCACGCTTGGGGCATGGAGATGAGTGCCGTATGGTCACATGTCACGGAGATTACATGAGACTCAGTGGTATTCTCTGAACCCCAAACAGGATGGTTTCCTCTGTCCCTCCTTTTCCTGGGAGGCTGGTTTGGAACAGAAGACCTAGCGACTTGTATTATATACTCGCGCTGAAGCCTGCAATAAGAATAGTCCATAGGAAACATTTAAGGACGGACCCTGAACCATCCCCCAGACTCACAGTAAGATTTCTTTCTGATAACAGAATGCACTAGTGTTACAGGTCCAGCTACAGGGCTCCATCCACTTCAGAGATGGGACCTAATTCTCGGAGGCTGGGTGTGTGGCCAACGGTTTGCTGGCCCGGAGACTGGTCACACTCTGCCCTTTCCCAGCCAGCACCAGCAGACAGCCAGTGAGTCCACGGGAAGACACTGATCATCCCCAGGACTAGATGTAACAGTAAATGGGAGTGTGTGGCTGGTAAAGAGACAAGGTTTCAAGCCCCAAAGAGTTTTCTGTCCAAAAGGGAAGACAGCATGAGCCAGTAAGTAATCCCTTCGTGCGATAACAATAATTTAGCAGATATTTCCATGTGCTCAACTCTGCTCTATGTGCTTCGCATACTTTAACTCACTTCATTCTCAAAACAGTGTGAGGGGGCTGGTACTGTTACTATCCCTATGTTAAAGATGAGGAAAGAGTTCAAAGAAATTAATCAGACAAGTCACACGACTCGTAAAGTGGCAGGGCTGGTGCTCTGAGGCCCATATCTCCAGAGGGGGAAGGAGAGTGAAAACTGACCCACATCAAAACAGCTAGAACTCTGCGGCAAGAGAACTTGGCAACTAGATTCTTGGAAATGATGGTTTTCCAAAAATAACTACATTTACAGAGGGTTTATATTTGATATGTCCAGTCCTCATAAGATAGAAATATGCCCCATTTTGCAAATGAGGAAGCTGAGTATCAGGGGAACGATACAACTTGGGAGAACTCACATATCTACTAGCTTGGCAAAGTTGAGATTCAATCTTAGGTCTGTCTGAAAGCTCTCCACCAACACTGCTGTTGGCTGACTTGGAAAATAAAGGGACACCTTGAACCCTCCAGGGTTCTATGATGTCTGGTTCCCGGTTCCACTCTAGAGTTACGAGCATTTATTCCACTTATGGGCCAGGCAAGATTTCTCAAGAGTGGAGGTCTAAACATGGTGGCAGTCTAAGACAGGAGATGGTTAAAAGTTGTCTCCATAGCATTAGGTGCTAAATGGGGGGTTGTAACACCACTGGAATGCTCAGTCCAAGCTGCTAGCACCAAGGTCCTTTCTACAGTCTCAGAAGCTGAGATTTTTAAGACCTGAGTGTAATCAATACCCCGGTTCATACCAAGTGTCCTAGTTACAATACCATTGACAAGGCCACCTTTGAACTACATGGAACGTTGAAGCCTTGGTGAAAGAGATTAGTTTATTTTTCAATCCAAATGTGCCAAGTGAGCTCTAAAAAGTTGCGGAGATCAAGTTGAGATATCTTCTGGGAAGATCATAAGCTGAAAGGCTGCTGTCATAGATACTGAAGTCAGTCATCACCCACTTGCTAACTGAGTCACCTGTCAGGTTAGTGTGGATTTTTTCATGCCCAGGTGCCCAACCCTTCTAGGTAGAGGGCCAGTTACCCAAAGTAACCTTGGCTGGAGGCACAAAAGGGCATCCCTTGAGTAAGCGGCATTTTGGAGGCTCTGAGGGTCAAAGCTGGCAAAACTAAAATTGTTGGAAACCCCAAGGGTCACAGTCGGATACACACTGAAACAAAGCAGGGGCACAAAGCAAAGGTAGGGAACATCTAGAGGGACCAAGGTAATTGTCACACTGTCTTGTAAGATTAGATTCACCTGTGTTTAGCAGGCCATTCCCAACTCACACAAAGGAATCAGGAGAGTTACAGAATTCACAGAGAGTGCAAGAAGTGTGGTTTGTGTCTTTCACAGATAGACGTTCCAAGATGGGCTGTTCTGGGGTAGTATGGCCAATCTGTTCCCCGATGGTCTTAAGGACTCTCTCAGGGTCAGTGCTGGCTGTAGTGACAAGCAAGCCCCAGATGTGAATATCTTAACACAGTAAAAGCCGTTTCCCTGATGATTTAACAATCCAATGTGAGTGTTTCTGACCAGCAGGCATCTTTCCTCCCTGTGGGTCTAACCTATTGTTGGCTCTTGTAACCATTTGTTACAAAAACCTATTTCGGGAATGTATCAGAGAAGCGTGCACATGGATCCCTTCCATCTTGGGATTCTGCCATTCCCTAAAGCCTAGGAATCTTCCTGCATGTGGCTAGATGATGGAGAAAGAGTACAGAGGAGGGAACATGGACTCTAGTGGGCCACATCTAGAATTCCATTCCATTCAAATTCCATTGGCTGCAAGGGAGGTTTGGGAATCTAGTCTAGCTGTGTGCTGCAGAAGAGCAAATCACTCTGGTGAGCAGTCTTTGCTACAAGGACCCAGGATCCTGGTGGCTCCTTGCAGCTCAGTGGTACCTCACCCTCAGGGTCTGGCCCTTGATCAAAAGTGGCAGCCAGCAATGCCGCATTCTAGCTAGCAACCTAGC